AGGGAGAGAGGAAGGAAGGAAGGGAGGGAGGGAGGGAGGGAGGGAGGAAGGAAGGAAGGAAGGAAGGAAGGAAGGAAGGAAGGAAGGATTTTCCTTGCAAATAAGAAATCAGCACATCGAGGGGAAAGGATGCTTGCCCAAGAGGTCCTGGCTGGACATATGTACAGGCAGTTCCTTGAGTTATGACTGTAATGGAGGCTGGAAACCGTAACAGACATAAAACAGGTTGGTCATGTGACCAGCCTGAATTTACAGCAGTCGTTAACCAAATGCAGTGGCTTTGGCACTGTTTGCTTATGCGCGTGGTTTCACCATATGTATCAGAATAGAGCTGGAAGGGACCTTGGAGGTCTTCTAGTCCAACCCCCTGCTCAAGCAAGAGACCTTGTACCATTTTAGACATAACTTCTGGGGGCAAGCTGTTCCGCTGGTTATTTGTCCTCACTATTGGGAAGTTTCTCCTTAATTCCAGGTTGTTAAATGAATTAATTGAATCTGCAGTGATTCGTTTAACAACTGTGGCCATAAAGGTTGTAAGATGAGGGCAAAACTCTCCTTAGAACTGCCTCGCTTAGCAACCTGTTGGACTCCATTCTGGTCGTTATGTCGAGGACTAGCTGTACTCAGCTCTGACCTGCTTAGCTCATTCTTGGATTTCTTTTCTATACAATTCTATTTAATTCTCAAAAGCTGCCTAGGCAGCCGCTGAGTGTTTTCAAAAGTGGCTTGCCACTGCCTTCTTCCCAGGGCTGAGAGAGAGGGACTGGCCCCAGGTCACCCAAAGTTGCCTCCTGCCTAAGGTAGGACCAGAACTCACCATCTCCCAGTTTATAATCTTGACTGTTTAACCGAGACACCAAACAGTCTGTCATGCCCCTGTTGGAATCTGATTCCAAAGGGGAGGTTGAACAGCCGACAGGGAGTGGGAGTGTGGCTCTGGTGGCTGTGGAGGAAACTGGGGAAGGGCACAGTCTGGCTGGGCATTCAGAGGAAGACCCAGGCCCATAGGCACGCAGGGAGGAGAGGATAAGGGAGCAACATGGCTTACGGGGGAGAAAAAGGCCCTGATTCCCTTCAATAGCTGCAGCTGGGAAAACAGGATAAAGAGGATGTTTGTGCACAGAAACTTGCTGGAAGCAAAGTGTGCATTATCTTTGTTTGTCAAGTCCTATCTGGGTTCTGGCATCCTGCCAACTGTGTGTGTTTCGCTATCTTTTGAGTTCTGCAATTCCTTATTCTGCCCTGTCTTGTTAATTGCTGCAGCTTGTGGTTTGTGTTGGTTTTTATTTATAATTTATATGTACTTTTGGTTCGGACTGAATTTCTTCCCTTTAAAAACTGTTCTTGGGAGAGTTTTTTCTCCAGCCGATAATAACTGGACATCGGAGGCCAAGTTGGAAGAAAAGGGACTTTATCCACTTTTGTGACTTTGTTGCTTTTGTGCCACACCCCAGGTCATCACACAGTCTCTCTCAAATGTAGCTAGATGTACAGAAAACACTCACTTTGCTACGAAGAGCAAAATACTCCACTGTTCCATCCACCTCCGTGGCCGCAGTGGTTCTATACTTTACTAAAACCAGGCCAGCCCCCGACAGATATGCGAACTGGACGTTCAGCTCTTGTGCCACTTTTCCTCTTTCCACAACAACAACACACAACATGATTTTCAGAGTGGAGCCGTTCAACGCCGTCTGTTTTCCTAGTTGTGGGCTACAGCGGCGTTTTTAAAAGACGGGGCTGCCTTATGCAAAGAGGCAGCTGCTTGGCAGGAGTAAAATACTTCGAGTGTTTAAAAGGAGACGCTCTCGTGCCCAGTTTCCATGGGGGAGGTTATTTGCGTTGATGAGGCTGAGATTTGTGAACTCAGTGGCAAACAAACAAAAAAAAGGATTTGTCAACTGCGGCTCGTTCGAAAGGGAAGATGGGCCAATGCAGGAGGACGGAGAAGGGAAATCTTTTCAAGTTGCTTCTTCTTTTTACCTTTTTTGGAAGGGGGGCGAATTTAAGCGAAAGAAGCTCTTTTTAAGAAACCCCATCAAAGGACCGGGTCACGGAAGGGAAGGGACGAATAAAACAAGGGTATTTTATCCCCGCTGTGATTTTAATCAGGTTAGTCTCAAGCCCTGCGGGCTTATCAGGCTGAAAATTTCTGAGGACGCCTCCAAGTCGAAATGGCCCATTAAGAGGCTGGAAACTGGCACAGCCGAGCCGATGGCGGCTTTGTCAAGTGAGGAGCAGCTGCAAAAAAAAAAAAAAAAAACCACACAAAACACAACCCTAATGGAAAGTGTCTTAAGCACTTCGTACGCTGCCGTGAGCGGCTCCATTTAACGCAGGCGGCTGCACGCCTCTGGCGCCAACCCAAGCCCAGGAGCGCTGCTGGCGGTGACAACAGGTGAGAAAGTCAGTGCCAAAAAGCCTGAAAGAGCCCCCACTCACCGACCCCTGCCTTGGCTAGAATTAGAATAACAGAGTTGGAAGGGACCTTGGAGGTGGTCTAGTCCAGCCCTCTGCTTAGGCAGGAAACCCTACACCACTTCAAACGGTTGTCCAATCTCTTCTTAAAAACTTCCAGTGTTGGAGCATTTACAACTTCTGGAGGCAACTTGTTCCACTGATGAATTGTTCTGACTGTCAGGAAATTTCTCCTTAGTTCTAGATTGCTTCTCTCCTTGATTCAGTTTCCATTTGTTGCTTCTTGTCCTGCCTTCAGGTGCTTTGGAGAATAGCTTGACTCCCTCTTCTTTGGGGCAGCCCCTCAGATATTGGAAGACTGCTATCATGTCTCCCTAATCCTTCTTTTTATTAGACTAAACCTATCCAGTTCCTGCAACCGTTCTTTATACATTTTAGCCTCCAGTCCCCTAATCTTCTTTATTGCTCTTCTCTGCACTCTTTCTAGAGTCTCAACATCTTTTTTACATCGTGGTGACCAAAACTGGATACCATATTCCAGGTGTGGCCTGATCAAAGCATTATAAAGTAGTATTAACAAGTCGTGTGATCTTGATTCTATCCCTCTGTTTATGCAGCCTAGAACCGTGTTGGCTTTTTTGGTAGCATCAGCACAAACACTGGCTCCTATTGAAATGATTGTCCACTAGGACCATGTTTTACTGAACAACTGCAGTGATTCACATAAACAGCCGTGGCAGAAAACATCGTAAAATCGAGCACTGAACAACCATCTTGCTTAGCAACAAAAATTCTTTTCTCAAATGTGATCGTAAGTAGAGGAATACCTGTACACAATTCTAACTTATTAATCAGCCTTGACAGGACAGTATCAAGGAAGGAACATTCAAACCTGACAGTATCAAGGAAGGAACATTCAGACCTGACTAACTTCTGCCTTGGTGAATTATTTACTCTTTAAAATCTTCCAAAAG